AATTCACATAACAGGATCATTCCAATCTTTGTGATAAATAGGAAGTTGCTAAATATTTTCAACACACTTTATAACATAGGCCTAAGTTACCAATCCTATGGTCTTTTCCAGTTCTAAAAATCCCATAATAGTCCTAGAATTACCTCAAATGAGAAATTAGTTTAGCTTTATTTTAATGGCATACCTATTTTATCCCTTTAAATAATGCAACCCAATATAACTGCCCTATTTTATATTTGTGGTGAAATACATGTAACATAAAATTCACCACTATAACCATTTTAAAGTGTGTAATTCAGTGGCATTAAGTCCATTCACAATGATCTACAGCCACCTCTACTATCTAGTTCAGAGCTTTCTCATTACCCCACATGGAAACCCAGCATCTATTAGGCAGTAACGCTCCATTATTCCCTCCCCGCAGTTCCAGGCAGCCATGAATCTCCTTTCTTTTTCTATGGATTTAACTATTATAAATAAAACCATAAAATGGATGGCCTTTCATGTCTGGCCTCTTTCACTAAGCAAAATGTTTTCAAGGTTCATCCATGTCATACGATGTTTTAGTACTTTATTCCTTTTCATAGCTGAATACTACTCCATTGTATGGATATACCACATTTTGTTTAATCGTTCATTTGTTGATGGACATTTGGGTTGTTTCTACCTTTTGACTACTGTGACTAGAACTACCATGAACATTTGTGTGCAAACTCTTATTTGAATACAGATTGTCAGTTCTGTTGGCTAGATACCTAGGAGTGGAACTGCTGTCATCTGGTCATTCTATGCTCAACTTATTAAGAAACTGCCACACTGTTTTCCACAGTGGCTGCACCACTTACATTCCCATCAGTAGTGTATGAGGGACTCCAATTTTCTACATCCTTACCAACACTTGTTATTTTGTGTGTGTGTGTGTGTGTTTTTTAATGATGATCATAGTGGGTGTGACGTGGCATCATATTGTGACTAAGCATCCTTTAATGTGCTTGCTGTCCATTTCAGTGTTTTCTCTGGAGGAATATACAGGCACACCTCTTAGATATCAAGGGTTTGGCTCCAGACCACCACTATAAAGCTAATATTGTAATAAAGCAAGTCACCCAAATTTTTTGTTTCCTAGTGCATATAAAAGTTATTTTTACACTATACTTTAATCTGTTAACCGTACAATAGCATTATGTCTAAAAAACAAGGTACTTACCTTAATTTAAAAATACTTTATTGCTAAAAAATGCTAACAATAACCAGAACCTTCAGTGAATCATAATCTTTTTGCTGGTAGAGGTTCTTGCCTTAATGTTGATGGCTGATGACTCATCAGGATGGTGGCTGCTGAAGGTTGGGGTTGGCTGTGGCAATTTCTTAAAATAAGACAGCAATGGGCTGGGTGCAGTAGGCTCACACTTGTAATCCCAGCATCTGGGAGGCTGAGGCAGGTGGATCACCTGAGGGCAGGAGTTCGAGACCAGCCTGGCCAATGTGGTGAAACCCCATCTCTACTAAAAGTACGAACATTAGTGGGGCATGGTGTCATGTGCCTGTAATCCCAGCTACTTGGGAGGCTGAGGCAGGTGAATTGCTTGAACCCAGGAGGAAGAGGTTGCAGTGAGCCAAGATCGCGCCATTGCACTCCAGCCTGGGTGACAGAGTGAGACTCCATCTCAAAAAAAAAAAAAAAAAAAAAGACACAATGAAGTTTGCCACATTGACAGACTCTTCCTTTCAAGAAAAATTCCTTGAAAATTCCAACAGCATGTCATGTTGTTTGATGGTATTTTACCCACATTAGAACTTTTTCAAAATTTGAGTCAATCCTCTCAAATCCTGATACTGCTTTATCAACTAAATTTATCAAGTATTCAAAATCCTTTGTTGTACATTTCAACAGTGTTCACAGTGTCTTCATCAGGAGTAGATTCCATCTCAAGAAACTGTGTAGGGGAGACCCTGTAAGTGCCAAGGCGGGAATCAGAAGCCTCAGCCTATTCCCATATAAATAACAAAGAAGAAAATAATTAGAGATAACCCTTAGAAAGTGGAACCTTTTTGGATTAAAAGAAAAAAAAAGGAAATAATTAGAGATATAGCCATAGTAATTATGCATATGTGACCTTACTTATTCATATTGAGTAAGTTCTTTTACTAATGCCTCTCACGTCATGAAGTGTGAACCTGGGGTGACACTGTGAAAGGAATGACCCTAAGGCAAGATGCTTTAAGCCCTCTGTCACGCCCATGTAAGGGCTGCTGGAGGGCACCTAGGCTTTTCGGTAGTGCCAGCGCTGGGAAAGCACCTGCTATTTAGCAAGCTGCGGAAGGAGATGTCAGAGATGTCTCTTTTCCCAGAGGAGTTAGGAGAAAACTCCGCTCCTCCAAGCTCTTGCAGTCGGTGGAGCAGTCAGAAGACACATTTATCAATTAAGCTTGCTGTCTTATATGGGCATGCTTTGTGCCCAGAACAATTGGGCACAAATTATGGCATCCCAGAACAATTACAATAGTGACATCAAAAATCACTGATAAATCATTTTAAAAATCACTGGTAAATTACTCCTTGGTCCATGGGCTGCAGAACAGATGTTGTGTTAATAGACACAAAAACATTAATTTCTTTGTACACCTCCGTCAGAGCTCTTGGGTGACTACATGCATTGTCAGTGAGCAGTAATACTTTGAAAGGAATCATTCAGTTTCTGAGCAGTAGTTCTTAACAGTGGGCTTAAACTATTCAGTAAACCAAGCCATTGCACAGTGGTCGATGCCTGTAGTTTCAGCTACTCGGGTGGCTGAGGCAGGGGGAGTTCTTGAGCCCAGAAGTTTGAGGCTATGATGTTCAATGATCACACCTGTGAACAGCTACTGCACTCCAGCCAGGGCAACATACTGAGACTCTGTCTCTTAAAAAAAAAAAATTCAGTAAGCCATGCTGTAAATAAATGTGCTATCATCCATACATCATTGTTCCCTGAGTAGAGCACAGACAGAGTAGATTTGGGTATATTCTTAAGGGCCCTAGGATTTTCAGAATGGTAAATAGACACTGGCTTCAACTTAAAGTCACCAGCTGCATTTATTTCTAATAAGAAAGTCAGTCTGTCTTTTGAAGGTTTGAAGCTGAGCATGGACTTCTCTTTAGGTAGGGGGGGTCCTACACAGCATCTTCTTCCAATATAAGGCTGTTTTCACTTTGTTGAAAATCTGTTGTTCAGTGTAGCCACTTTCTTATGTGATTTTAGCTAGATCTTCTGGGTAACTTGCTGTTGCGTCTACATCAGCACTTGCTGTTTTCACCTTGCACTAATTTAGGTTACGGAGATGGCTTCTTTTCTTAAACCTCATGAACCAACCTCTGCTAGCTTCAACTGTTCTTCTTCTTTTTTTTTTTTTTCTGAGACGGAGTTTTGCTGTTGTTACCCAGACTGGAGTGCAACGGTAAGATCTCGGCTCACTGCAACCTCCGCCTCCTGGGTTCAAGCAATTCTCCTGCCTCAGCCTCCCGAATAGCTGGGACTATAGGCGTGCACCACCATGCCCAGCTAAGTTTTGTATTTTTTGTAGAGACGGGGTTTCACCTTGTTGACCAGGATGGTCTCGATCTGTTGACCTCGTGATCCAGCCACCTCGGCCTCCCGCTTCAACTTTTCTTCTACAGCTTCCTCACCACTCTCCGCCTTCATAGAATTAAAGAGAGTTGGGCCCTGGCTCTGGATTAGGCTTTGGCTTAAGAGAATGTTGTGGCTGGTATGATCTTCTGCAGACACCGTTCAAACTTTCTCCATATCAGCAAAAAAGCTGTTTCACGTTCTTATCATTTGTGTGTTCACTGGAGTAGCACTTTTAACTTCCTTCAAGAACTTTTTCTTTGCATTCACAACTTGGCTAATTGGCACAAGAGGCCTAGATTTTGATCTACCTTGGTTTTCAATGTCTTCCTCACTAAGCTTAACTATTTCTACCTTTTCATTTAAAGTGAAAGACTTGTGACTTCATTTGAATACTTAGAGGCCATTATAGGGTTATTACTTGTTTGTTTGTTTGAGGCAAGAGTTTTGCTCTTGTTGCCCAGGCTGGATTGCAATGGTGCAACCTTGACTCACTGCAACCTCTGCCTCCTGGGTTCAAGCAGTTCTTCCTCAGCCTTCTGAGTAGTTGGGACTACAGGTGCGTGCCACCACACCTGGCTAATTTTTGTATTTTTAGTAGAGACAGGGTTTCACCATATTGGTCAGGCTGTTCTTAAACTTCTAACATTGTGATCTGCCTGCCTTGGCCTCTCAAAGTGCTGGGATTACAGGTGTGAGCCACCACGTGCAGCCAATTCATCTAATTTTAATATTGTGTCTCAGGGAAAAGGTAGGTCCAAAAAGAGGGATAGAGATGGTAAATTGGCTGGTCGGTGGAGCAGTCAGGACACACGTTTATTTGTCAATTAAGCTTGCTGTCTTATATGGGCATGGTTTGGGGCGTCCCAGAACACTTACAATTGTGACATCAAAAATCACTGATAAATAATAATAAAGTCAGAAATACTGCAAGAATTATCAAATGACACAGAGATATGAAACGAGCAAATACTGTTGGAAAACTGGTGCTGATAGACTTGCTTGATACAGGGTTACAAAAACCTTCAATTTGTAGAAAACAGTACCTGCAAAGTACAATAAAGCAAAGGACGATACAATGAGGTGTGCCTGTATATTCAGGCACTTTGCTCACTTTTTCTTGGGATTGTTTGTCTTTTTGTTGTTGAATTTTAAGAGTTGTTTATATGTTTTGGATACCAGACCCTTACCAAACAATGATTTGCAAAGATTTCCTTCCATTCCATGGGTCTTTTCATTCTTTTGAGAGTGTCCTTTAAGACACAAAAGGTTTTAATTTTGAGAAAGTTTAATGTATCTATTTTTAATTTTGTTTCACTGCACTATTTTTGGAAACTTTTTTTTATAATTTCAACTTTTATTTTAGATTCAGCAGGTAACGTGCAGGTTTGTTTCATGGGTATATTGTGTGATGCTAAAGTTTGGGACACAAATGATGCCATCACTCAGGTGCTGAGCACGGTACCCCATAGGTTTTCAACCCTTGCTCCCCTCCTTTCCTCCCACCTCTAGTAGTCTCCAGGGTCTATTGTTGCCATCTCTATGTCCCTGAGAACCCAATGTTAATTAGCATAGGATAATGGCCCCCAGCTGCATCCATGCTGCTGCAAAGGGCATGATTTCACTATTTTTCATGGCTGCACTCTATACTGTTTTCGACCCTTCTATTTTAATAAGAGTCATGTATTTAATAAGAATCTTTATTTAAATAAAAAGAATACATTTCCCACAGTTTGGAATCATTAGTCTTTATAATAGTTACATTTTCATGCCTTCATTTCACGACCGTGCTTCCTAGTTTACTGGGAAAAAAAGCAAGCCATCAAAAGAGAGCTTCTTTGTCTTCATGGATCATGGAACCAGCAAAAGAAAAAAAAGAATAAAAGAATTAACAGAGAGCTTCTAATTCCTCCCACTACAAACCTATCTCTGCCTTCCCTTCTGCTACAGAGAAGAACTGTGTGTGTTCCTATCTGAGGTCAGCCCTCAACTTGTGCCCTCGCTCCTGTCCCTCCTCACATCATCAGATTCTACTCTTAAAATTGTCTGCTCTCTCATAGCTTAATTTTTCTCTCACTTCTGGATCATCATGCCAAGCTTGAAACATGAGGTACTAGCTTCCGTGCTTCAAAACGAAATTAAAATGCAAAAACCTTCCCACACCTCCACATCCTCCTCCAGCTCTGGTCCCAATATAGCAAAGTTACTAGCGAGGTCCACATTTCCAAATCCAATTGGTAATTCTCAGGCCTCATCTTACTGGGTGTCTCTGAGCATCTGACACATTTTATAATTTCCTCCTTGAAACACTTTCATCCCTCCATCTGAATGTCTCTTAGGCATGATAAACTTTAACAAGGCCCAACTATGATTCCTGATCCCTCCTCCCTCCCCTCTACCTGCTGCTCCCCCCCATTTCCCACCTCAGTCATGGCAACTCCATCCTTCCAGTTGCTCAGGCCCAAAACCTTGGAGTCATTCTCGATTCTTTTTCTTTTCTCTATCTCTCTTTTTTTTGAGGATGAAGTCTCTCTGTCACCCAGGGACTAGAGTGCAGCGGCGTGATCTCAGCTCCCTGCAACCTCTGTCTCCCGGGTTCAAGCCATTATCCTGCCTCAGCCTCCCAAGTAGCTTGGATTACAGGTGAGTGCCATTACGCCCAGCTAATTTTTGTATTTTTAGTAGAGACAGGGTTTTGTCGTGTTGGCCACGCTGGTCTCGAACTCCTGACCTCAGGTGATCCACCTGTCTTGCCCTCCCAAAGTGCTGGGATTACAGGCATGAGCAACCATGCCTAGCTCTTTTCCTTTTCTCTTACCCCGCCCCCCTTCCATTATATGGATGCATTATGTTGGCTCAACTTTCAATGCATTATATTGGCTCAACTTTCAAAACATATCTGGAGTCTCTGTGCTTCTCATCCTTCCAACACTACTGCCCATTAATCCATTAACCCATTATTCTATTAATCTATGAATGGATTAATTTATGCATGAGGACAGGGCCCAATAATCTCTTAAGGGTCCCACCTCTCCATACTGCCACATTGGAGATTAAATTTAAATATGAGTTTTGGAGGGATCAGATATTCGAATCATAGCAAGCTGGTATCATTTACAATAAAATAGGGGTAACCTAAGGAAGATGTGTGAGAATTCTACTGAAAATTACAAAACATTACTGATAGCAATTAAACATGAACTAAATGGAGAAATGAAGGGACAGACCATATTAATAATCTATAAAGCCCAATATTGTTAATACTTCAATTCTTCTCCCAAATGATCTATAGAGTCAATGTAACTCCAATCAGAATCCCAGCATCTTGTTTCTCTCTCTCTCCCCTTCCCTCCCTCCCTCCCCTTCCTCCTTCTGTCCTTCCTTCCTTCCCACTTAATTTTTTTTTTAGGGGATGAAAATCAGCAATCTGGGCCAGGCATGGTGGCTCACACCTGTAATCCCAGCACTTTGGTAGGCCGAGGTGAGCGGATCACCTGAGGTTGGGAGTTCAAGACCAGCCTGACCAACATGGAGAAAACCGGTCTCTACTAAAAATACAAATTAGCTGAGTGTGGTGGTGCATGCCTGTAATCCCACCTACTCGGGAGGCTAAGGCAAAAATTGCTGGAACCTCAGAGATGGAGGTTTCAGTGAACAAAGATTGTGCCATTGCACTCCAGCCTGGGCAACAAGAGCGAAATTCCATCTCAAAAAAAAAAAAAAGTCCAGGTGTGGTGGCTGACACCTGTAATCCAAGCACTTTGGAGGCCAGGGCGGGTGGATCACCGGAGGTTGTGAGTTCAAGACCAGCCTGACCAACAAGGTGAAACCCTGTCTTTAAAAAAAAAAAATCAGAAATCTGGTTCTAAAATGTCTATGGCAATGCAAAAGACCTAGAATAATCAAAACAATCTTCAAGAACAAACCTATAGTACTTAAACAGTCCAGATATCAAGACTTATTACAAAGCTACAGTGATTAGAACAGACACATAGATCAGTGGAGCAGAATCAAGAACCTGGAAATGGACCCACACATTTACAGTCACCTGACTTACAGCCAAGGTGCCATGGCAATTCGATAGGGAAGAATGGTCTTTTAATAAATGGTCCATGGTCGTCCACTGGCGATCTGCATGTTAAAAACGAAGCCAAGCCTTGACTCTATCTCATCCGTACACAAAATGATTCTGAAACGGAGCATAGAATTAAATGTGAAAGTCAAAATTATAAAGTGGCTGGATGTGGTGGCTCCTTCCTGTAATTCTAGCACTTTGGGAGGCCAAGGCAGGAGAATCACCTGAGGCCAAGAGTTCCAGACCAGCCTGAGTGACGTAGCTGGCACCTTGTCTCCACTAAAAATAAAAAAAAATAGCTGGATGTGGTGGCATGCACCTGTAGTCCCAGCTACTTGGGAGCTGAGGCAGGAGGATCACTTGAGCCTGGGAGATGGAGGCTACGATGAACTATGATCGCAGCACTGCACTCCAGCCTGGGTGACAGAATGTAAGAACTTGTCTCAAAAAATAATCAGATAAGTAAAATAAAAGGGGATATGAATTTAATGAAAAGACTGCTCAAGAGTATAGTACTCACTGGATAAAAATGCTTATATTATTATTTTTATTTTAGTAATTAATAGATCTTTTTTGAAAAAGTATTGGCCCAGTGGATCACAGAGTTCCTTAATGGATAAAAATCTCTGTGTCACACAGTATCTCCCATTACTACTCCTAAATGACACCAAAACACAAATTCATGTAGTTCCCAATATAGGAAGAGCTCCTGTTCTCAAAAACATTTTCATGCACCTTTTGTTGTTTGACTGCACTGTGGACTTCTGGGAACCAGTTTTGAAATTCTTCCACTATTTATGACGTTGTTGTATGGAAAATTTAATCAGGATGATACAGTAGTCCCCCCTTATCTGGAGTTTCTCTTTACTGTTTTGGTTACCTGTGGTCAACCGTGAGCTGAAAATAGTAAATGAAAAATGTTAGAAATAAACAACTCCTAAGTTTAAAATTCCATACCACTACTTGGAGTGTCATAAAATCTTGTGCTTTCTTGTTCAGGTGGACATGAATCATCCCATCCCGTGTTTCCACACAGTATATACTTAGCAGCCCTCTTCACAATCGGATCAACTGTCCAATATTACAGTGCTTGTGTTCAGGTCCCTCTTATTTTACTTAATAATGGCCCCAGAGAGGCGTGGGCGGAGAAAATAATAATAATAATAATGGCCCCAAAGGGCAAGAGTAGTCATGCTGGCACATTATTCTAATTGTTCTATTTTATTATTGTTGCTGTTAACCTCTCCCTGTGCCTAATCTACAAACTAAACTTTATCGTAGCTATATATGTGTAGGAAAAAACGTAGTAAATATAGGGTTCGGCACTACCCTCAGTTTCGGGCATCTGCTGGAACTCTCTGAAGGTATTCCCTGGGGATAAAGAGAGTACTATACTTAAAATTCCAGTAGAACACGTCTTCCCCCTTCTCCGCAGCCAGGAGAAAACAGGCACTGGGTGATGGGGCAATAGCTGCGGAGACCAGCAGTAGCTGGAGGGAGGTGTGGGCAGGACTCAGGACAAGCAAGGCAAGGGTAACAGTAGACTGGTACCAATATACTATTAATGGGTCTTATCTCACTCTTCACTTTCCTTGGTGAGAGTTTTATTCTTAACTGGGTCCTAAATATGATCTGTGAGCATCTAGCTTATTACTCATTCATAAAATTTGAGTTGGAGTAGGGTGTATATATAAGGTCCTTCCAGAGCGAAAACATGATTCCAAGCATGATTCTTGCTTCAGTGTTCATGTTTCCAGCCCAGATTTCTCTTCTTAGCTCCAAGCATGATTCTTGCTTTCAGTGTTCATGTTTCCAGCCCAGATTTCTCTTCTTAGCTCCAAGCATGATTCTTGCTTCAGTGTTCATGTTTCCAGCCCAGATTTCTCTTCTTAGCTCCAAGCATGATTCTTGCTTTCAGTGTTCATGTTTCCAGCCCAGATTTCTCTTCTTAGCTCCAAGCATGATTCTTGCTTTCAGTGTTTATGTTTCCAGCGCAGATTTCTCTTCTTAGCTCCAGAGGCATATTTTCAACTGTCTTACAGACATTTCTGAATGTCCCACAGCACTTCAAAATCAACACATAGCTACTACTCTCCTGATCTCATCCACTCTCCCCATTATCCTCCTCTATTTCCTGCTTCATTTACCAGTGGCTCCAGCACTGTCACCCGCCCCCATCCAGAACCTCTGAAATCATTTTGGTTTTCTTCCTCTCCATCACCTCTCACATCCATAACTAACTATGTCTCCTCAATCTTTCTCAAATTGTTCCCTTCTTCTCTTCCTTATTTCAAACTTCATTTGTCATCCGAACGATTGCAAGAGCCACCTCACCCATCTTCCATCTTGAAGACCTCTCCTAGTTCAGATTCATTCCTTACACTTTCAGTCATCTTTCCAAAAATATAAATGTAACCTCACTCCAGTTTTAAAACTTTAAATGGCTCCTCTATTCACAAAAAGAAAAATTCAAAATTCTTGAGAATTAACTTCAGGTCTCAGCTCAAAGGTCAGTTCCTCTGAAAAGCCTTGTCTATCTGAAGTTGACCTCCACCATAACTCTATCGCCTGGTTTGTTAATGGTTCTTATCACCGTCTATAATTCCCTTGTCGGTTTATAGTCATAATATGCCCTCATATCTCCCTTTTTTTTTGAGACGTGGTCTCATTCTGTCACCCAGGCTGTAGTGCAGTGGCATGATCTTGGCTCACTATAGCCTTGACTTCCTGTGCTCAGGTGATTCTCCCACTTCAGCCTTCCGAATAGCTAAGACTACAGGTGTGCACCACCATGCCCCTTATCTTCTGCCTCTCACTTGCTTTCCAGCTTTATTTCCACCACTCCTCACTAAGTATTTTGTGGTTTAGTCTTCAAAAATCTCCCTTTCTCCAAATAAATTATTTGCACTTTTTAATATTTATTTATTTATTGAAGCAGAGTTTTGGTCTTGTTGTCTAGGCTGGAGTGCAATGGCATGGTATCGGTCCACTGCAACATCCACCTCCCAGGTTCAAGTGATTCTCCTGCCTCAGCCTCCCTGAGTAGCTGGGATTACAGGCACCCACCACCATGCCCAACTAATTTTTGTTTTTACTAGAGATAGGGTTTCACCATGTTGGCCAGGCTAGTCTCGAACTCCTGACCTCAGGCAATCTACTTGCCTCAGCCTCCCAAAGTGCTGGGATTACAGGGGTGAACCACCGTGCCTGGCCTTATTTTATTTTTAAAACTTGTTCTCTTTACCTGAGATGCCCCTCTACTCCTGTCCACTTACCAAACCCTAACATATCAGGATGTGTCTGAAGTGACCTCTAACATGAAGTCTATCTTGACTCCATCCTCAATACTGTTCCTTTTAAATGTCTTAGACAAGTAGAGTGGTATCTAGCACATTCTAGGTACAAAATAGTCATCAGCTGTGCTATCTAGCTGCCTCATTCTATGAAAGGCTGAAACAAAAATAGTTTGAATCAATTATAGACCAAAAGCATGGATGTTTACCATCCTTTTCTTCACTGCCTTCTGAGATGCCTGGCAGAGCATCTCAGCATAAGCTGAAAAAGTCCCCATTCTTTAATTCATAAAGTTCATCATTAGTGCGTATCTTTTTCTTTTTGACTTCCTGGGTTCATCATCTCTACTAAAAATACCTTTTCTCTCCTCTCTCTCTCTCTCTCTGCCAAGGTCTTGCTCTGTTGCCAAGCTAGTGTGCAGTGGCAGGATCAGGGCTCACTGCAGTCTCGACTTCCTCACTTCAGGTGGACAGACGTGTGCCAAGCCCAGCTAATTTTTTTGACTTTACTTATTTTTTTAGCAGAGATAAGATTCTGCCATGTTGCCCAGGGTGGTCTAGAACTCCCAGACTCAAGGAATTGTCTGCCTCCCAAAGTGCTGGGTGTGAGTGAGCCACTGTGCTAGGCCTCAGGGTGTTTCTTTTTTTTTTTTTTTTTGGTGAGACGGACTCTTGCTCTGTCGCCAGACTGGAGTGCAGTGACACAATCTCGGCTCACTGCAACCTCTGCCTCCTGGGTTCAAGCAATTCTCCTGCCTTGGCCTCCCAAGTAGCTGAGACTATTTGGCAGGCCGAGGCAGGTGCACACCAACATGCCCAGATAATTTTTGTATTTTTAGCAGAGAAGGGGTTTCACCATATTGGCCACGATGGTCTCTATCTCTTGACCTCGGGATCTGCCCGCCTTGGCCTCCCAAAGTGCCGGGATTAGAGGTGTGAGTGAGCCACTGTGCCCAGCCTCAGGGCATATCTTTATAAGCAACTTTTAAGTCCACAGCCTTAATATATTATTGAATTATCTGGATCTCAGATTTTCAGTCTTTTAAGGACATCTATGCTTCTGGGTCCCCAGTCAAAGCCACCTTGATGACAAGAGGAAAAGAGACTAAGTGGAAGAAATGAGAATCAAATACAAATCTGTGCCCAGATCAGCACAATTTATGGAAATGAAGACCACATATCTGTGCCCAGATCAGCACAATTTATGGAAATGAAGACCACATATATAACTTAACATTTTCTAGTGGTCACATTTAAAAAAACAGATAAAATTAATTTTTAGTTTTTTTTTTTTTTTTGAGACGGTCTCATTGTGTCACGCAGGCTGGAGTGCAGTGGTGAAATGACAACCCAAGGCAGCCTCCACTTCCCACTCCAGCAATCAATCCTCCCACCTCGGCCTCTGGAGTAAATGGGACCACAAGCATGTACTGCGATGCCCAGCCAATTTATTTATTTATTTACTTACTTTTTGTAGAGACAGGGGTTTTCCTATATTGCCCAGGCTGGTCTCTCATGCTCAAGCGATCCTCCCACCTTAGCCTCCTAAAGTACTGGATCACAGGTGTGAGACACTGTGCCTGGCGTACAGTTTCCTTACTGCAGTATATCTAACATATTTCAGTGGGATCAGGGAGGTGTTTCACAGTCCTCAAACTCTAACACCCGTGCGTATTCTGCACTTAAACGAAGTAGCCTCATTTCAAGTGCTCAGTGGCCCCATTTCAAGTGCTCAGTGGCCCTAAGTGGCAAGGGGCTACCCTCTGGACAGAGCAGGTTAGGTCCTGAGCTTTTCCCATTGTAGTCCTACTAGACATTCTGAGAAAAAAAAAGGGAAAGCCTTTGTGAAACCTCCTGAGGACGCACAAGAGCATATTAATATATTTAGAGTTTAGAACTTTGGTTGACAGCGTCCCGTATTTGATTCTTTCCCTCCTCCTCCTCTCCATAACTCTCTCTGTGACACTGTAGAACTTACTACTCGTTCTAATTCGAAGATGAAGGGAATATGAGAGCAGAGGTTTTGCCTCAAGCACTTCCTCCAACTTTTGCCGAGGGGTCGGGAGAAGGCAGACTTCCAGGTCCCACCTGAGATAGACTAAGGGCTGGAAACACAGTTAAGGGGAAATTATGACCAAGACAGCTTTCGCTAAAACGCCAGCGATTACTGCCATCCGTGTTCCGATGGCAGGGCAGCATTATCAGGAAGTTCCAGGGCATCGTTTGTTCTAAAGTAACGTCAGCCCGCGTTCCAGAATTCGCGGACTGCTATCACAGTCCGAACCCACACATGTAGGCGAATGCTCCACAAATACTTCAGCGCCTGGGTCAGGCATCGGGAATATACTGGTGGTTAAAACAGACGGAAAGCGCCATCTGGGTGGGACGCAGTCTGGGAGGGAAAGGGGGTACTGGGCACACGTTTTCGTAGGCTCTGGGCTAAGCACCTCTCGCCGCATCACACGGGGCCAGCACCGCTGTCGGGAGAAGTACTTGGTACTTCACAGTCCAGTACCCAGCGGCTGAGTAACCGTTTCCAACTCAAGGCAGCGACTCACGCGAGCCGTCCTGAGCGCAGCGCTGTGAGGTACACACGGTGCACGCGTGGGCGCCTCAGCCCCCAGGCAGCGCCTCCAGGGTCGCCGTTCCGGGAAAGAGCAGCTGCAGCGACCTCAGGCGGCGGGAAACGCGGGACCTCACACTGCGCCGGAAGCGGCGCCTCGTGGGCTTAGAGTCTCTCCGGGTTCTTCCTCGAGCTATCTACGCCGCATTACCCACGAAAGCATCCCCGCCCGAGGTACTACCCACTGCCCGGAGCCTCCCTGACCGTTCCCTCCCACTATCTGACACCAACTGCTCAGCGTGAGAGGACACGGGTGGTAATTGCCGGGTCGCCAGCGGCCTTATGAACTACGCTTCCCGTGAGGCTTCGCGGCGGCCGGCGGCTCGTGCGCAGGCGTGCGCACAGCGTGCGTGGTGGCGTCAGCAGTTCTAGAACGTTGCTGTGGTAGCGCTCGGGCGCCATGTTAGGACGAAGGGGAAGGAGGAGAAGCGCTTAAAGCGGCGGGAGCGGTGCGGGAGAGGGGTTGGACCCAGGGCTGAGGCAGGCCCCCCCCTCCCTCCCGCCTCAGTGGATCATGCCCAGGGCGGCAGCCGCGGCGGTTGCGGGGGGGAAGTGACTGGGCGGTGCCGGCGCAGGAGACGATGCCGTTGTAAGTAATTTGTATTCTGTTTTCTTTCGCACGCCGGTTGGGCCTTGGGGGGCGTCCGGGAAGGGAAGAGGTAGGCGGAGAGGGTGGCACGCGAGCCTGACCCTCCCCGCTGGTGGGCGGTAGGCAGAACTGAGGACCTTCGTGTTTCTTCGCCTGCTGCCGCCGCACTTCCCCCATGTGCAGGGTTCCCGCGTCCCCCGACCCTTCCAGGCTGGGTCCGCTGCCGTCCGGCCGGAGGCCTTCCCCTTCCGGAAGAGCTGAAGGAACCTCTAACGAACCTGTCTATTCCACCTTCTCCTCCCGGTCCGCAAAGAAAACCAAAACAGAACATTGCCCGGCGGCGGGGAACCGAGACCCAACTCCATGTGGGATCAGCACTTGGGGTTCGCGCTCGCTCTCCGCGACCCTTGGGCCCATTCTGTATCGCTTCTCTGTTCCTGGTCTGCCTCCGCTCGCTCACTCTCTTCCTCCCATTTCCAGATGCCTGTGTGGTGCGCCCCAGTTAGCCCCCTTCCGCTGACCTTGTCTGAATGTGGGAGCACGAGTTAAAAGTCTAGCTTTGAGCGTGGAGCCCCCCTGCCTCCGCGTCCGCCCCAGTCCCCCGTAGCATTCGCGGTCGGAGAAGAGGGCCCTTAGCAGGGTGCCCTTCTCCGAAACGACTTGGGCCGGGAATTGCTTTCCCGGTTTTGTTTTGGTGGGGTAACCGGGTTTCTTTCTGCTTCCTTCTTTCTCTCTCTCTGGTAATACTTTTGTTGTTGGTGGTGGTGGTGGTTGTAGGCTTAAAGCTAGTCTCTTTATGCTTTCTAATCCCACTAGGGCTTTTTCTTTTCTTAGAGGGTTTTAAAAAAGTTTTTTCTCCCCTCCCCCTTTCTTTCTGATAATGAGATATAATTTGGCAGCTAACTGCCAGTGGATGACAGATATTTTTTCTGCAAATATACAGCATTGTAGAGGCCTAAATAGTGAGACTGCATTTCTTCCATTTTTGAAGATTGAAGTGTAAGAATGCCCCTTTGAGACCAGGGACCGAGTTTTCTTCATCTTAGTAGCCTCAAAACGCAACATGTAATTGACACTCAAAGTTTTGGTTAGATTCAGGATAAAGATTTTTGTGGTTTCTAGACATCGAATGTGGTAGCTCAGGTCCTTTTTTTTTAAGGATAATTTCTGTTTTTGCAAATAATCACCGGTTATAGTTTTATAATTATATATGTGTATGGATGTGTTTCTTTACAGGTGAGACTCTAACTTGGACACAGACCTTAATTTTCTATCGCAATTTATGTATTTTAAAAGGATTTTTCATGGTTCCAGGAATTCCTTCTCATGTCTCAACCCCACTCACCCACCCTTGTTATTAAGAAGTCTATTACATTATTACTTCTAGAATGAAAACGTTTGTTAGATTTAATTAACTATACGTGTCTAAAATCTTGGAATCTGTATAATTTCTGTTGACTGATTTTTCCCTTTCATGGAATGGTAAGCGACCCTAGGATAACTAGGTCTGAGCAAGATTTTTGTGGTGTTCTCAGTTCAATAGGAAATAAATGTTTGCAGTGATGCCATGTGATGACTGCATTATTAACAGTTAACATTTTGCTGTTTTTAAAAAGGGACTTCTTTTTCTGATAATCATACCAGCATTAAAAGTGATCGATGTACGTCTTAAAAGGCTTCAATGAAGAAATAACGTTAAGTAATTTGTGTCTTATTTCTAGTAATTAAAAGTACTTTTATACCTTCCTTCCCCCAACATTCTTTGAAGAGGAGAGGTATACATTTCCATCAAAGACCTCAGGTATTTCCAGTTCTTTGCGAGTTAGTTCAAATATTTAAAATGGAAGACAGGGCCAGGTGCGGTGGTTGACGCCTGTAATCCCAACGCTTTGGGAGGCCCAGGCAGGTAAATCGCTTGAGGCCAGGAGTTTGAGATCAGCCTGGGCAACATGGTGAAACTTCATCTCTACATAAAACACTTAAGTTAGCTGGGCGTGGTGGCTCATGCATGTAGTCCCAGCTACTTGGGAGGTTGAGGTGGGAGGATTACTTGAGCCCAGGAGGTTGAGGCTGCAATGAGCCTTGGTCATCCCACTGCACTCCGGCCTGGGCAAAAGAGCAAGGCTCAAAAACTAGGTATATGATAATTATTAAGAGACCAAAGAATACCTAAAGAAAAATGGGGCTTCTTCCTCATTAATTTGCTTTCTTTTTCATGTACTGCTGTCACACTGTCATAAATTTTGTTTTTTCGATGTGTTGGATTGTGATTTCCCAGCTATATTGTGATTGACTTTCATTTTTGGTATACCTGTCCTAATGTTAAATTTGGTTGGGTTAGTAGCATTGCGGCATGGACCCTAGGTGAATTGTCAGAATGGATTTAAATCAGAATTACTGAAATTTACGATATTACAGAACATTTTGATTGTGTCCATATTTTGTCTAAATTTCCTATGTATTTCCTAGCTGCATACATACATTTGAAAAGATTATAGTCTGATTTAAGAGTCATGGTGGTGGTGAAGCTTCCAAAAGTTTTGATAGCCTTTGGATCTATTAAATACAGAGTTTCTCACCTAGTCATTGTTGACATTTATGCCAGTTTTGTTTCTCGCAGGTGCCTGTCCTGTGTATTGTAGGGTGTTTAACAGCATCCTTGGATTCCACATGCTGATTTCCAGGCACCCCACCCCTGCATTTCCCCAGTAATGACAACCAAAATGTCTCCAGACATTGCCACATGTACCCTGGGGTGCAAAATCTCCTGGTTGAGAACACCATTAATGAAAGGTGTGATGCCCTTATGGGAACTGGATGTACTTCTGCCCTACTCTGTGTTGGTCAGATCATTTTTGGCATCAGCTCAGTTCTGGCTATCACATGTATGATAAAAATACATAAAGGAGAGTAATCAGGATCAGTAGCATCTATGATGCCACATGCATAAAATGTTGTTAAGTTACTGAAAGAGATATTTAGCAAGATTTAGGTGAGACAATAGCTTTTCCTCTCAAATATTTTCAAAGGCTGCCCAAAAAGGGATTTGGAGTAGTTCTACATCATAACAAGCAGAACTGGTACCTACGGATGGATGGTGATACTGTGTAACTGTGTTTCCCAGAGCATGGTCTGTGGATGCCTGAGGAGGGGTACCACTGAGATCTTTCAGAGGGCACATAGCATCCAAACTGTTTTCATGTTACTGAGATGTTTTGTCTTTCAACTTTTGTACTCATGGTCAAAAGCATTGGTGGGAAATGCTGCATCCATCGTAGACACAATCAAGGCAGAGGACCCGTATTATATATAATCATTTCTTTTTTCATTTTCTTTCTTTTTTTTTTGAGACAGAGTTTTGCTTTTGTTACTCAGGCTGGAGTGCAATGGCGCGATCTCGGCTCACCGCAATCTCTGCCTCCTGCGTTCAGGCAATTCTCCTGCCTCAGCCTCCTGAGTAACTGGGATTACAGGCACACACCATCATGTCCAGCTAATTTTTTGTATTTTTAGTAGAGATGGGGTTTCACCATGTTGACCAGGATGGTCTCGATCTCTTGATCCACCCGCCTCGGCCTCCCAAAGTGCTGGGATTACAGGCTTCAGCCACCGCGCCCGGCCCATTTTATTTCTTAATGACTGCACACTCCTAGTTTAAAAAGTTTTTGATGAAGCATTAAAAGGAGGTTGATTTTATTAAATCTTGACACTTTGTCTTTTTAATGCACCATGACCATGGAAAGTACTTGTCAAGCTGTGTACTGGGGCGTATTACAGTGCTTTTGAGGAGGACCACCTGTATGTTGATTTGTGAGCTCAACTAGTGTTTTTACAGTGCTCCATTTTTATCTGAAAGAACAAGTGATGAACCGTGGGTATTTATATTTGAATATTTACGAGACACATGAGAGTAAAGTGAGCCTGTCACTTCAAAGTAAACAGCTGATTCTGTTTGTGGCCAGTGAAAAATTTGAGCTTTCAGGCAAAATTTAGAATTTTAGAATGTTTGTTTTTCCATGATGAGCTTATCAGTTTCCCAATACT